TTCACTTTTAACTTAAATCTAAACTAGCAATTCTGAGGCTATTCTGAGGATTGTTTGTAAAATAATTTAAAATTTCCTGCTCGTGAATACGTCTTCTCTGTTGATTGTCCCTTTTTAAAATGCATTTTGATACAGCACCATATTCCATAAAAGTATTGTTTATTTTAAAAACTGTGCTATGCGTAATATTAGGTCTATCTGGATGTCTGTTGTTAAAAATTATACACGCCTCTCTTGCAGTCCGATCATTTTCTCCAGAAAGGCGTACTATTTCAATTTTCCCATGTAAAGTTAAACTTTGAGCCATCGCAAAGAATTATGGAATGCACAAAAAATATTACAATGTGCCACTACTTGTGAAGTTTGACATTTGTTGTCTAAACTTCTATATTTCAGAGCCTACCAAATTTTGTTCATATTATCTTTAAGCAACGTTATTTTCTGGATATCTCATAATATTTTTTTCAGAAAATTCTTCACAAAGAATTGTATTATGGTTGTAGAATCCAGTGGCTTTTTGAATAAAAAAATTATAAATGTAATTATTTTTGTCTAAGAAGGTAATATTTGTAAGTTTTGGCATAATAACCACGAAATAATAATAATTTGACGAACTTGTTGTTTATTTTGGGTATACTGGTTTTTATGGTTCTTATTAATAATTATTAAACCAGTGTTTGTTATTTAATTTTGTTTCCATTTGGGTTCTATTCGTTTTTTTTTAAAGAATAGGTTCACCGACAACGGCAAACACTGGTGATGCCGATATTGTCATAACTTTTTTAGGGGCAAATTTTTTTTCGCAAAAATTGGTATAAATGCATTTGAGGGATTCCTAAATCCAGTGGTGCAGTCAGACTGGCTTTTTATAAAAAAAATCGCTAACAAAATTGAAAATCAAAACTTCGTCTTCAAATTTTGCATCAAGATAGAGCTTTTGGAGATCTATCTTTTAAAAAAAAACCGGTTCAAATCGGTCCATAAACAACTTTTGTACGCGAGTGTTTCCATTCTTAATGGGTCACCCTGTATGTTTTGAAATACCCTGTGAATAATAACATAGACCGTAAATGCTTCCTAAGGAAATTGCCGCCCCTCGGAAGTAAGTATTTATTCAATATCTATTCAACAAGCAGAAACAAGTAAATTAAATTTTAGAGCTGTAATTTTATTCTTAACAAAACGAAAAAACAATCATTCTAAAATTTGATTTGGAAATTAGTAAGATTTAATGAGCTGGGGGCAAATACTATCTTTTTTGTGGGTATTTCTTGCAGTCATGAAATAGAGAAATTTTTGCGGGTAAAATCTGAAGATCCATCACCTCAAAAAATTAAATAAGAGTCAGTATATCGGACATCCACTACTAGATTTAAAAAATCTATATTTAGTATTTGCACATCTACTAATACTTTAGATTTCATATTATTTCCCCTCTTTGCACCCCCATGTTATTTTGGTATACCTGTTAGGTCTACTCAGTTTTTATTTTATAGTTTTCAGTGTTATAACAATAATCGTTTTGCGTACTATATTTTATTGATTACTGTGATTGAGGTTATATTTAGGCATCTTGTATAAGGAATTTGTCAGTTTGTGATATTAAATAAATATTTTTGTATATATTTGTAAATAATATTTATACCCGGTGTCCCAGAAGTGTTTGTTGTGTTTTAGTTTTGAAGACTGTTTTAAAATTTTATATTTCTGATAATTTCCACTGCAACATATATAAGTCGAAATGTCTATAGTTGATGGAACGATAAACAAAAAGAACAACATAAATGAAAACGAACTTAGTATTTAGATTAGGAAAAACCTTTAAGGTGGTGAATCAATCCCCTGCGTTACTTAGATGTTCTTTTTTACGACTTAAATAGGTGATTAAAATTTTGGCACTTGTTTCTGGTTCCCGTAAATAGGCAATAAACATTAGGAAATGGATACTGTTTCATTAGCTTTTCGTTCGTGGTTATTTCAATAAAAATAAGTAAACTCTCAGTATACATCAAAGATTTATTAATAGGCAATTAGACAAAAAATATTTGCACATTTAACCCTCCACAATATTTGAAAATTCTTATTTTAGTATTCCGTATTAAACCATAAGTACTTTTGTCACAGTGGCATAAAATAAAATAATCTAGAATACTAATTACACAGTAACAATCACTTTATTTAACAATTTATTAAAATATACATCACTTACGATTGCTGCAATGATACAATAAAATTATATTTACATTTAGTATAAAAATATCACAGAAAATTCGTAAAAGTATTGAATATGTTACACTTAATTTTTCTACACTTGTCACCAAGGCCTCCAAATTGTTTCACTTGCAGCACAGTTCTGTTGACAGGATTGCCTGGGAATGCCAAAGAAAACTTGTCCGCCTGCAGTATTGTTCACTGGAACTTGTCTTGAAAAACTGCTCCTGCTAGTCCAATTGCTAGTAGAAGGTAAGAACCCACAACTTTTGTTCTGCTCTACTTTCACCCTTAAATTTTGAAGATATCTCACGGTTAATTCCAAAATATCTGCTTTTTCCAATTTGTTACTTCTTTGCCCGTTCCTCCGCATAGCCGTTTCGGGATCAAATTCTAAGAGGAATTGCTTGAGGTGTTCTAAACTCTCATTGATTCTGGCTCTACGCTTTTTCTCCATCAGAGGTTTCCTAACTTTTCTGTCTTCAGATGTCATCTCGATATTAGTTTTCATATTTGCTGTGATTTCTGCAAACTTCACCAAACGACTATTTGCTTTAAAGTGAGCACGTTTTTGGATATCTTTATTAAATAATATTCTCCTACCCCCTCCATGGTGGTGTGGCATGTACCTGGACGTAAGACCCGGACGATTTGTTATGGTGTTTGGCCGCAATAAAGTGGAGGCAGGGAATTTAATTTTATGGTTTTAGTACAAAACCTAATTATGGTTTGTGTATTAGATGCGCTTTGACTGTATTACCTACTGAGAAAAATTTTTTAAGCCTTATTCGAAACGAGGCAATGTACACAATTCCTGAATTTGTCTGCGATGGTCATTTATAATTAGCTGCAGTTGTTTTTTCAACACATCCATATGAGTATGTTTTCAAACAGTATGACTTCGTTTGAAAAGAATTGAAGATAATAAAAAAAATAATATATAGGTAACATGATAACAATAGGAAAAAAGTACAAAATAAAAAATTAGTTATACCCTTGTGCTCTCGGATCAGTCAAGGGTATTTTTATTAATCTCTTTTGCGTAACCAAAAAACTCACAGTGAAAAAAAGACAAATAAAAAATAATTCAATTAAGTTTTCCTTTTCCAGTAATTTAACCGAAAATGCATTTCCATTTTTCCAAGCACGCTCGCTTTATAATTTCTCAAATTCTCGCTTATTAATGTGTTCGTCTAATCTAATACTCTTATAAGTCAAAAGGTTTCTCCAATGTAATGTTTATTGCATTTAAAAGGTATGCTATAAAGGCATTTTTTTTCATTTTGATCGTCAACAACAAGTTTTCTACGATAGTATAAGTTATTATTAGTACAGTTTTTATGAATTTCACTTAATTATTAAAAATATTATCGTTTGAACAAATACATTAATTTGGCTCTATCATAAAAATATTTTATTTCACCTTTATATAAGACAATGTGATGATTAAAATTAAAATTTAAATATCTATTAAGTGTGAATTGTTCTTTATAACCGCTAAAGAATTTATTTATTAAAATATCTAGAAAGAGTTTGATTCTTTGTTGTTAATATATAGAAGAAGGTCAAATTGCAAAAATATTTCTACCAAATGGTAGGTATTTTATATAAATTGTCAACACAGTTTTGTTAAAAAAAAATCTATAAAAATATTCCTTAAAAGTGGTGATAATTTGATTCATTAATTGCATTCCCTATTTAAGTTAGTTCTATTTACCAAATTGTTTTCTTTCTCTAATTTATTTTTGGTAACATTCAACGCTTTATCTACTGGTACATTAGTAAATAGCTAAAAAATTGTACAGCCATTACTACTTCTACGGAAGCCTGCAAGCCAACTTAAATTAGAGAATATACAAACTAAGTACATCAAAACATATCCTTAAATGATTAGCATCAAAACTACTTGCGTTTTAAAAACAATAAATCGCACTTTTAATAAAACAATGATAGAACAAGCGTAACGCTGAACTAGAGAAACTTCCTTTAATTTTTCATTGAAATATCACGGAGAACATGCAAACATCAGAAAATGTACCTTCTCTGTCTTGTCCAACAAATTTGTAGATAGATACTCAATAATTGTGATTAATGCATATGCTAATAGTTTCCTAACAGCATTCTGCGCAATGTGATTATGTTTTATGCAAAATTTAGGAAACGAATGTGAGCTAAAATATGCTTTATTTTCTTATTTCCAATATATTGTCAGTTGTCTTATACCCTGAAGAAAACTTACATAATTGTTACAGTGAAGAGATATTGTTTCTAACTTTCTCAGATTTTCTAAAATGCTGGACAAAAAATGGCGAATATAAACGCCTCCTTAAAGGAAGTTTTTTTTATAAATGGTTACTATCTTTAATATACGAATGTTCAAATAAAGCTTTGATAATTTTCAATACATATTTCGTTTATTACAAGGAGAATTAATGAAGCTAAGCATTAGTATTAATGGAATATTATGTGCATGAATTTTCGGTAAACCATAAAAGTGTGGCGGTTTAAATTTTTATCACGTTATCTGAAATTTCTTGTTCTTATTTATATTATAATGCTTTATACATTTTATTTTCAATTAATTTGATTAGATCTCTATTTATTTTTGAATAATTCCCTTCACTGAATTAGTTATTTTTATATCATTGGTTGTTTTTCTTTAAAATAACTGTAGCATTTGTTTTATCAGCTGGCAAACTTTTAATATCATTTTTAAGGACTATGTAGATTTCCTTTCTTTTAATAAGTTATTTCTAATAACAGTTTTTCAAGTTCAATTTTTATTTACTTCTAAATTCATTAGCTAAGTTTAACGGCAACTTTTGTGTAGTTTGTTTATGTAATTTAAGAATATTTTTTGGCTTTACATCATAATTTAGCACTTTACTCAAAACTAATCTTTCAGACGTACTAAGATGTGTATTTACGTATGAATCAATTAATAATTAATTAGAATTTATTTTAGTAAATTTAGATCAAGGAACACACTATAAGTGTTACAGTTACTCTGGCATTATACATGTATAAAAATATATAATTTTCACTATTAGAAAGACGCTATAAGCTCTTATTTTCTTTTTTATTTATTTGGGTATTTTACCACCTATGAATATTAAAAAAAATAATAATTGCGTCAATAAGATTTAGGGTTATTTTTATGAAAATAGTTTTGCCTAACCAAAAACCTTACATTGCAAAATACACACATTAGAAAATTCACATCACTATACCGACATATATTGCATACTTCAATAAGTTGTTATTTATTACAAACCATACTTATTGTTAGCACAATTTCAGCCTATAAAATTAATCCTAATTTTGCACGTAAATATTGATATTTGCAGAGATAAATATACCGCCCTTTTCTTAAATTCACCTAGCAATAAAAGCGTGCCGACAGACTTTCGCTTTCTATAGCAATCCCATCACTTTACTGCCCTGTCGTTAAACCCTTGCAGAATAGAAGAGTTGGCGTTTCGCAAAATGCCATAAAGTGCCATTAGGGTTAACTTACCTAGCTCACTCTTTGACAAAGGGGTTTTCGCAACGCCATAAACTATATTTCTGCTGAAATTCTGCATTCAAAACGTTGCTCCAGTATTGCCTAATAAATTTTGCAATTTGTTTGGATTGCATTGTGTTAAATTGGGTAGTACCAGGAAGTGGAATATTAGGAAGAGTTGGCAACACTTTCTCTCATCTACTGAAATGGGTCTGAAAATAATATTTAAAATAAACAACTGGTTAAAACCAAGCCCAAAAAACTAACACTTATACGGTGTAAGAACGGATGACAAGTAATCAACACAAAATTCCATATTTGCACCAAATATCATTTTTCAAAAATAAGGATTCATCCCGTTCTTGCAGCACTTGCAGCAGGGTCTTCGGTTTAAGTATATTTCTATTTATTTCCTAAAATTACAACTCATAAGTCTTTGTACAATAAACAGTATTTTGACCCCAAGGACAATAAAATCAGTTTAAACTCGATAATGGTCTTTTAGGAAGAGATAAAAGCACGGGTGATCATCATAAAGTTCTTTTTCAAAGGGCACCGACGTGTTTTATTAGACGTGATGCACAGGGCTGTTACAGTCCTTTTCTTAAACACCTTTTTCTGCCTCCGCTCAGGGATGTTTGGCAAATATCAATTATAATGCATTATGAACATATTTAGATTAGTGAGACTGGCTGTAAACTGAATATAACCATGGAATTTAAGATATTATGTATAGGGAAATAATCATATTTTTCAAGACCTCCAAGTTTTGCCGGAAAAAATTGAAAAACAATTATTTTCTTTTCTTGGAAAGTTATTGAGACTGAATAAATCGACTAAAAATCCCTTAACAAAAATTTTTGCGAAGATTTATTAAGTCGAAAACATTTTGGGAAATTTTGTAAAAATTTTAATAATTATGCAAATTGGGAGATAGTAACACAAAATATTTATTTAAAATGTAATAATATTTAATTTTATTTGTGTTACAATTGAATGCTAGAGCTATTTACTACACACGCATTTTTAGCAATGTTGTTTTAGAAAAAGTTGTAGTTTTTGTATACCTATTACAGATTTTTTTTTACTTTTTATCCTACAATTTAAAATATTTGGATCAAGGTTTACATATTATTACTTGCTGAATTTGAGCATGGTCCAGTGTTATCTGTTATTATTATTATAAATTTATAGTCCAATTAAATGGGCCTTTTAAATCGCAATTTTGGCCAACTTTCCTGAATTTTTGATATAAGTGAGTCTGAGGTATTTATACAGGGTGTCTCATAATTAGCTGCCAACCCTGAACAGACCGATTCTATGATCAAAACTAAGTAAAAAAGTTCATATGAACATGGGTCCGGAAATGCTTCCTAAGGGCACAGGGACCCATTGAAGAGGGAGGAATGGAAATCATTTTTTTGCAATATCTCTCAATCGCGTTGTGATAAATGAATGAAATTTGGTATACACAGCTAAATTTTGATGAGCAATTTGATGGACTAATCCATTTATTTCCACAAGGTCCATTGGGGTGGGTACGGGGGGGCCCTTGGTACTTTGCGTGTGTAACTTTTTCATCTTTGACTTTTTAACAAATTGGACAGCAAATTCCGTTTTCCCGAACTGTTTTACGTTAAAAAGGTACTCTTGTTTCAAATCGTTATCTTTAACGGTTTCTGAGAAAATCGCTCTTGAATTAATCCCACTTTGGTCAATTTCATAGTAATTTAAACAAAATTATCAAGGTATTCTTATGTCAAAGTATTGTCAACCCGATTGCCAATTTAATAGTTCTAAGCGAAAAAAATGGAAGAGTTTACGGGACAAGAGTTAGTTGATATGATATTTATTTATGGCTTTTGCGATGGTAATGCTGCAGCGGCAGAACGCGAGTACGGGAGAAGGTTTCCAAACCGAAGGCTGCCATCAAGGAGGACATTCCCTACGGTATTCCGCAACTTAGCTGCAACCGCCACTTTTCGAAA